CCTGATTCTATCAATCATAGTGGCCCTTGTTTTTAACTACGTAATTTCCTGCATGGTTAAAAAAATCAGGAAGGTGAATAAATATGACAAGGTCCAGAAAATTGAGAGAATTCTCCTTTTAGACAAGATGAAAAGGTTGAATAATAAAATAAACAATATAATTGGGATAACCCATTTTTATGGCAAGTTGAATAATGAGGAGGTTTTAGCTAGCTCGGGCGATTTTTCCAAATTGACTAAACCGAAAATTGTGCATAGTGATGATGAGGAGTTCCTTCTGCAGAAGGAAAAGAGAGCGCTGCTTAAGAGGCTGCAAGAGGAATTGGATGAGGCGGAGAAGACGTTACAACTACTTGACAGCGGAAATGTTCTGTATATCTTTAACAGCTCCGTCGCGCCGTATTCCTCCATAATGAATTGCATGAACTGTTTTTATTTCATTTTTGTTGTGTTCCTGTCGTCGGTAATGCGAAAGAAAGAAGGAAAAAAAGAGGGGAAAAAAAGAGGGAGGGAGAAACTACACAAAGTGGGTTTCCGTACATCACCTCTCCCATTGGATTACGCAGAGAGCATGATGTGTGTATGTATGTATCCCCGCTTCGTTGTTACAGCGGTTGTTTTATCACTACATTTTTCGCTCCGTTTTACGCTCCCCGGTTTGCCTCTTTTTACTACCCCCCTCCAGCTGTACAACTGGTCGTACTCAGCCCTCTTCACCGTGCTTTTTGTGATGCCCGTGTCTATCCTCCATAACGTAAAGACAAAGCGCAAGAAAGTGATTCAGAAGGCCATCCTTTTGGCGTTCATTCTGCTGGGACTAGCGCTGGTGTATCCTTACGAAGGCTTCATTCTGGTAATTTGACCCGCCCGCAGCGGCACTTCTGCTGAGGAGAAGCAGCGAAGAGGCTGGAAGAAGCAGGACCCATTCATGTTCGTTTTTCCCAAACTGCTGATCAGCTGCACATTTCCCCTTTTCGCGCCTTCCCTCCTGCAGAGCGCAAGACACAAACTGATCAGGCACATAATAAACGGATTTGCAAAGTGCCAGAAATACTTAGCAAAGTCAAAGTTAGCAGACACGAAGTACTTCCCCGATTTTTTGGAATTCCTGTGCTCGAACAAAATTTTCCAGCCTCTACATTTAAATAAATATTATTTAAACAATCAGGACATCAAATTTAATTACATCAATGACATTAAGAACGAAGTTTTTCTAAATCTGTATAGCATGGCGAGAAACCATTACTGTGTTGGTTCGCAATTGTATCCCCTTATATGTTTCACCTTTTTTCCCGTTTTTTTTTTTATAATGTATGTTTTTTTTTGTTAGCCATTGGAGTTTTTTTTTTTCTTTTTTTTCTTTTTTAAATTCTTGGCCTCTTTCCCCACGATGGGATGTGCACCCGGAATACCTTCCTCAGTTTGGAGACCATGCGTGTGTATGGTAGGTTTCTTAACTATTGTCTGCATCAACTTCAGTGATGGAAATATGGTTTGTAGAGTTATCATCATTGGCTAAACCCGTTCTGAGTTAAAACATTTGACCACTCTGTCACCTCGCCTTGCAGCAGGTGTGGTAGCTATTCTAAACCGGTGACGCGATTTATTTACAGTTTCGTTATTAACAAGAGGAATTATATTCGAGATCTCATTTAACAGAAACCAATGGGAAGTTTATTGTGAGCACTTTAAAAAGGAAAAAAATGAAATACTAAAAAAATTGCCCCCCCTTGGATAATAAGGAAGTTGCCTGAACAACAACGTTTTCGAGATGGACAGCAGTCGTCGTGGCAGCAGCGGCAGGATCAGTGGTGACAAATCGACGAGGTGTTGCACTAAACCGGGATCATACGGAGGGTGAAACGGAGGGAGAAATGGAGGCAGATGCGGAAGGGAACTTGAAAAGGAATGCAGCGCCTGTCAATTTTCCGGAGGGAGAATGGCGGAGGAGGATGTGGGGGGCGCTGAATGACTGTGCTAAACTGGGGCTATTTTCTATATAGTGCAGTTTTAGGGGCACTTCCATCGGGCCCCGCCTTACTGGAAATTAAGTCTGTCGAGTTAACTATTAAGTCGATGTACTGCACACTTTTTTTCTCATTCGAAATTACATTTTTCCTTTTCTGCTTTTTATCATGATCGTTGTCCGAAAAGAAGAGGATTTTCTTGCGCTTCCTTTCCTTTTTGATATTAAATTCGTCTGCGCGGTATGATTTGTTTCTGTCGACATCTCTGTACTTATAAATTGACGTGCTTCTGTTCTTTTGTTTTGAACTTTGCTTCCAAGGGTGAGGGCCATTTTTGGTTAGTGCATCGTTTCCATGTTGAGATGAATTCCTTTTCCCACTTGTGCAAGTTGTGTGGTCAGGTACAACCTGGTCTGGTCTCTTAAGATGAGGGGGTGACCTTCCTGGGGTATCAAAGGAATGGGAGCGCCTGGGGCAATGATGGCGGTGGTCGACCAGCTGATGCGACGGGAGCCCCTTGTCAGTACACTGCGTCGCATTTTTTTCCTTAAATTTATGATAAAAAAACAGATTTTTTTTTTCTGCCTTTTTGAGCAATAGGTAGTATTGGGTTTTCTCGGCGTCCATGTGGTCAATATTTTTTTTTAAGGCATCGACCTGGTTGGACAAGAGTTGGTTCTCATTTGTTAATTCCTCTATTCGACTTTTTAGAATTTTTTTCTTTGACTTGTTGAGCATATTTCTGTACTGTGCTTCTTTATGTAATTTATAGAATTTTTCATATTTCAAATTTGTGTCTGTGATTTTTTTTAAATATTCGTTCAGAAGAGATTGGTAAGTTTTTATCTTCTCTTCAATGTCGTGTCGGTTATTTTTACTATCATGTAAATGTTGCATTATGGCTTCCACCTTTTGATTAATCTCTGCGTACATTTTATTAAGTACATTAATATGGTTCTGTGTGAGCATTTTTTTGTTTTCCTTTTCTTGGCTATTATTTTCTTTTCGGTCACTTAGTTGGGATTTATATTTTTCATTTTCCAATTTGAGTCCTATAAGTTCTGTTGCTTTCAAATTGTAATTTTCTTTTTCCTTACTGAGACAAGAATTCAGTACGTCCATTTCTGTTTCTAATTTTTTTATTTTTATATCATATTCAAAATTGTAATTTTCCATTTCTTTGTCTTTTTTCTTTTCTATATTACTTACCAGCTGTTTATATTTCTCTATTTCATTTTCCAGTTGGCAGTTTTTCAGCTGTACTTTATGTATTTCTTGCGTGAGAATTTCTTCCTTCTTTTTTGCCTTAACATACTCCTCGCAGAATTCGGTTAGCAGAATTTTACTTTCGGTAAATTTGAAGAAGACCTTCTGTTCGTCGTTCATCTTTGTGTATGTTTGTGAGTGTGAAGGCAGCCACGGATGCAAGACTCTTAATGTTGCTAATTCTTTTATTTTCTGGGGGAGACGGCTTTTCCTCCTTTCGATCTGCACGGGTGCAGCTTTTGTGGGGAAATTGTCCAAGAGTTGTACATAGACCAAAGGGGGAATAATTTTGACAATAGGAAGGAGGATTTCCTTCGGAGATGAACCCACTGTATGTGTGTCGGGGGGATGAGGAAGGTTACTAAGTTGTTTCGATTGCCACGCCAGAGTGGGCCGAGCCCACAAGAGAAATGATTCACTACGACGTGGCGTTCCTTCCTACGATGGGGCGGAGCAGCAGGGATCAGTATATTCCCCCTGACGCGACGAAAAAACGACTCTTCTTTTCAAATTTGAAGTTGCGTATATAATTTGTGCAGAATGAATGGGTCTACTCAGATCGCTACAAAAGTTGCAATCTGTTTATCACAACGGAAGGGGACATATCCCGCTGCGCCGTTACGTTTTAATTCGAAAAATGTGACCATCCGTTGGGAGAAGCTGAGCGGATGTTCTTTTTCCCTCGTGTGCAAGCAAGTTTGCATACTTTCATTTTAGAAGTTATTTCTTTCTTTTTTTTTTTTTTTTTTTTTTCCCCTTCTTGCGAATTTGTAGAGAACGTTTCGAAGTGCCGTGGGACTTCCCAACTTACGCGAAAATATACACGTGAAGCAGGGCCTTTTTTTTAAACGCGCTGCATAAGGAAGTATCATAAGTCGCGTAATCACGCACGCAAAGTATAAAGGGACGTAGATGTGTAGTACTACATTTGAACGCCCCGACAGGGGCATTTATAGAAATTACATGATCACCCGCATGTCCTCATTTATGCATACGTATATATATTAGTGGTGAAAGGGAGAGAAATTTAATGAAGGATTTTTCCGATTCATTCCTCATGACTCTTAAAGATTTCTCGTTTCCCGCTTTCCAACCCACCCCAAATGGGGCATATTAATTTTGAACATAAAAAAAGGAAGAATTAATTTTGACATGGTGAAACGTTTTAATAAGCATGGCTCAGTGATATATTTATTTATTTCCTTTTTCACATATAGTGAATTAAATTTGGGTAACTTTGCAACTGTTTTGTTTTTTTTCTTTTTTTTTCTTTGGGGGCGTGGTTTTTTTAGGTATATTATTTATATATGCGTAATATATCAACCCCTGCATGTATGTAGCTGAAGGGGTGTTGAGCATATATATGTTTTCGTTGGGAAGCTTTAATGGGGAAAGGCGGAAAAGGAGTCACTAGGGCCATTTGCATGTGTATGTCATTCAAACATAGCGTAGGGGTGGCCACAAAAACGATCCACCTGTAGGTGTAACTATAACTCTAGTTGTACCTGCACGTCTTCCCCCGCTTCCGTTCATTATAAGGGCATTCTTCCAAGTAGGAAAGTGAAAGAGGAGGTCATTTGTGAGTAGGGAATTATTTCAACTATAAGAACACCCGCTGAAAGAAAGTGCTAATCGAAGTTAGCCCCCTCTCCACACACCGCCCCCTCCGGACAGCGCGGACATGAGATAGCACACCAAAAAAAAACGTTATGAAGCTAAAGAAAAGAAAGGTTTTAACCCATACATAGAAATCCAGTTAGACATATAATGAAAAAGGAACTGAAAGGAAAGAAACCAAAGGGCAATGTTAACAGTAGTGTTGTAAGTAGCAATTTTAAAGAAGAAAAGAGGATAATTAAAAAAAAAAAAAAAATTTACTTCAACAACGCAAAGGGTGTATGCCCAAGTCAGGCCTACAAGGGTACTGTAAACACAGGTTCAAACATAAATACCAATATAAATTTGAATATAAATAACCTAAATTTCGGCCACGTCCAAGGACAGGGAACAGAGGCACTGCAGCATAACCTAAGAATTCACCCCAGAGCGATAGGGGGAGGCGGACCCATATACGGATTTGATGCAGGGGAAATAATAGACAACGCTGCAAATAGAACTAGAAAAGGCATTTTACAAAATGTGAATATTTCACCAAGGGGGAAAGACAAAGATGGTAACTATTTCACGACAGATGTGGACGCAGGGACGAACTCTTTCGATGTGAAAAATAGGAAGTTAAAGAAGAATGGAAGTAGCGGCCTAGGGACGGATAAGAAGCCTTACAGAGGTGTCGGAAATTCCAATGAAGGAAACACTGGAAGGGTGGATGACAAGTCCACCTTTAGGGGGAAGGATGTCGTTTCACTGGATGGAGCAGAGGGAAGGGCAGCGAGAGCAGCAGATGGAGCACCAATAGGTGACAACTTGATCAGAAATGGAAGCACTTTCGAAAGTGCAGGCGGAGCGGATAACAGAGAAACAAACCAGCTTAGAGGAAGGATCAGCGTTGGAAGTAATCCCCCACAAAGAAATTGCTACCGATTCAGTAGCGGTCACTACTTTGCGAACTCACCCAACAAGCTGAACTTGGCCTACACACATAAGATTTACAAGAGTAGAGCCAGTATTTATACCAAAAAATATTTTAAAAATAACAAAATCGTCAATAGTAGTATGACTGGTCAGGTAAAGAAAGACGAATTTAATCCTGTGCATAATTACAACATCAGTTTTGTTAAAAAGGGAGCAAGTAAATCCCTATCAGATATTAAGGACTCTGGGAAGGGAGACCATACCGAGGATAGCTATTTTGAGTTTTCAGAAAATGGGATGAATGCAGTTGAGGGTGGTAGGGATGATTTGGGCTCCCCCTTCCATGTGGATACCAGTAAGCGCAGTGGCGTTTTGGACAGTGCCAGCTGTAGGGGTCAGAAGGGGGGTTACTCTCTGTACCGGGCTTCGGCGAAGAGTAGCGGCCACGAAGTCAGCAATTGTGGTAATTGCGGTAAGTGCGAAAGTTGCAAAGGTCGAAACATTTGCGGCGCTTCTAATCTGTATAGCAGGGCGACGATGCATGGCATTTCAGGTAGAGAGAAGAAAGGAATGGGGGAACCTAACCTCTCTGGTTCCAATGTAGAACCGGTAGATACAGAGCGGGTCGCGGAACAGGACGAGAAGATGCTCAGCGAGGAGAAGCAAAAAGAGAAAGAAGCATTTGCGCAAAGTTATTTAGAGAAAATAATAAAACTTCTGTCAGACAAAGTAAAACGTATGCTGACTGTGACAGATAAGGAGTGCATTCATCTGGTGAGATCCATTGTAGAGCTTCTACAGTGTATAAAGAAGATCATAAATTGGTCTGAGCAATGCCACTTCCACTACAGTATATTCGGCATCGTATTAAATATCTATGCCCATGTATGTGTTAAGATATTTGCACAAAATGACATTTTAAAAGTAACGAACTTGAAGTGCCTGGTGTGTATGTTCGAAATCCTGATTATGCTAAGAAGAGATTCTTTCAATCTTTCTTACGGCTTTTTTTTATTTGTAAATTATTTGAAGAGCAACATCCATGGGATTGACATCCTGACCAAGAAGAACTTAAAATACAACACCAAGGTCGTGAATAATGACGAGAAGATATTTTTAAAAATGGTAAACTCGTTTGTAACTTTGATTTCCCATTGTGCTGAAAGCCAGAGTAGCATGGTCCGGGTGGAGTCTCTCAAGTCATTTTGCTGCGTGTTGGGCATGTTGAAGGGGAGGCGGCGGAAGGACGGGACTGCTCAGGGGGGATGGGAGGCGTGGAGAAAGGTAGAAGAGGGGGTAGAAAAGGCGGTAGATAAAGGGGTAAAAAAGGGGCTAGGAAAGGGGGTATCAAATGACATGGGCTACGAGATGGGGAAACATTTAGGCAGCACCGTTATGAACAAGGCAAAGGGGAACTCCCTTCGCCAAAGCGAGCCAAGTGATGAACCCGCCTCCGCGGTGTTTTCCCCGTTCAGCAGAGCCCTAATTATGGGGAGTCTGGTGGGCAAGAAGAGCACCATGTACAGGGGACACACCACGGGAAAGATGATAAACCTGCAGAAGTATTACTTGAGTTTTTTTAAAAGTAGCTACATGTGCTCAGAGGTGTACACGCAGAATGGCGGCGAAGCAGGGAGAAGAGATTTCCCTAATAGGGAAAGTGATCAAAAGTGGGTTGCCTCTCAACCGAGTTCTGTTAATAAAAATATGGGGTCGAGAAAAGAGAACATCAATTTGTATAGAGCCAATATGAGCAGCATACCAAATCACCACTGGCCAAAAAATAATTGGCACGAAAATGCAAAGGATGGAAATCCACACTTCACAAATGACCAACTTGGAAGCAACAGAAATGTAGAGGAAATAGAGTACAGAACAAAGAACTCTATTTTGTTAACAAACTTTGAAACCATTTTTAATAGCGAGCCCAGTAATGGTTGGTTGACGAACAAACTAGACGACGAGGATGAACAACACATGTTGCTTTTCATCCTCAGGATATTCGATTTGTTTGTCGACCTGTATCAGGATAAAGAGATAAGTGAAATTATACAAAAGAACATCGTGTTCTTTCTTAACCACATAGATGTCCACATATTTAGTTACGTGACGTATTTGATTACCAAGATTTCGCACATCATTCCGATAAATAAAAGTTTTTTTAATAAATATATATCTGTCCTTTTGAAGAATTTGAACAAGGAAAGACGCAAGTTTATATTCCTCATGCTATCCTACAGTAGGTACGAAAAGAATGGTTTGTTCGTTGTGTTGAACTTGCTGAGCAACTTGTGCGTTTATAATTTCCATTATAAGACGGACACCCACTTGATGGATTTTGATAGTATTTCTGATGAATCTTTTAGAAGGAATTTGGGGGAGGAGAACGACTGCGGGGGTGGCACGGGCGATGGGGTTGCTGGTAGGAGAAGTGGCATCCGGGGAGGTATCGCCCGAAGAGGTACTACAACTAGTAGCATCACAGATGAGTACAACACGCATCCGTCGCTTAACCCAACGAATGAAGACTCCTTTGGAGACGCGAGAGACTACAATAATGTTAACGAGCATGAGGTGTACCTTGTGGATCATATGATACACAACAATGAAGAATGGTGTTCTGTTTATGCCGTTTTGATTGTGCTGTCATTTAAGTACCCTAGTTTGATGTTTTCTTTCTTTTTTAAAAAATTTGGAGACAGTTTTGTACAGAACTGTGACAATTGTTTACCTCATTTTAATTTGTTCGATTGGTCCCACATATTTGGGTACTACATATCGAGTGGTGTTTTGAATGTCGCTCTGGAGGGAGAGACTCAAGTTAAATCCCGCATGTTGAATGGGATGAGAGGCGGTGGTGGTGTGCCTGATGGTACCGCTTCTCCGGAGGAGGACTATGGGAGAACTCCCACGAGTGAATGTTCGGGCCCCAGCGAGGGGGGCCAGAGGGATGAAGCGATCCTCACAGATAACAAGAGGGGTGAAACGAATGAAACAACAAGAATTGGCAGTATCATAGATCAGGCAAACCAGGTGGATACCCATATCAGAGCAGTTAGGAAGCAGAGCCTTCCGTGCAAGGAAGAGGTGGCACTGGAATTGCTAACCCATCAGATGTACGCCTTTTTAGAGTACCCGCATTGTGTCCAACCAAGCATAGGTGATCGAGAATGGAGTTTCTGTTATGTGTACATATCTAGTGTACTTAATCTTTTTTTTAACAAGAATGCTTCCTTTTTTGGAGAAAATTGTTTCTTTTTTAAAAAAAATATATGGCACTTATTCCACGACCGATCGAATTTGAAGACACACCATTTTCTGGACTATTTAGAAATGTTTAAGGATTCAAATTTTAATTACGTCAGTGAGAGTAGCGAATTGGTGGGGATGCTAAACTGTGTCATTAACCCTTCGGAGGAAGGAACCGAATTCGCGGAGAAACGCGAGAAGGGGAGTAAGCAGCTAGAAAAGGGAGTCTCTATAGGAGCAGATTTAATGGCCAAATGGAGACAAATGAACAACAATAAAAAGATGGTTTCGTCTGGAGATAACACAAAGGATGACCCTGACGCAGACTTAATACATTTTAAGCAACCCTACATGAAATGCTGTGGCCGTATATCCGACGAGATAGAGGATCACATGACTAGTAATCTTTTTTTTCAAATTATGGTGAGTGATTCTTACTCGCCGAATGATCCGCCCTTTGAACACTATGAGGAGTATTTGCGAAAAATTAGCGTCGAATTGATTGCGGCTCGGTTGATACAGCAGGAGAAGGCGGGCTTCACCCATTTGTGCTGCTTCAACAAGGGGGACAATTTATTGAGTGATCTCTTTTTGGATGACGATCCTTTCGTAGAAACGGTGACTACCTGTTTGGAAGTTCCATTTTCTCGTCAGAGTGTAGCGAAGCAGGGGGACCTTTCGAGCAGCAGCGTAGGGAAGGAGAGACCAAGTAGTTTGGCACAACACCCTGCAGATGGTAGCCCTGTTGGAAAGGATACAACTATTGTTTTGTCCAACACGATTGACGAGGAACGTAAGGTTCTCGATGCGATTATTAAGAGGAATGTAAAAATGGAGAAGCAGCATAGGAAAGGCTTTGTCGATTTGGACGGCAGACTACAATGGTCCATTGAAGAAGGGGATGATCAGGGCATTAAACCGGCTAACAATTTTAGAGCGTCTGAACATAGTTGCGGCGAAGACAAAAAGAAAGAAAAAATTCGGCCATATAGTGTGAGTAGCCACGTTGCAAAATTGTGTGGAAGCAGTGCCGAAGGAGGTAAAGCAATGGAGCGAAGGGTATCCGAGGGAAGGCACATACTACAAAGGCGAAATTTTGCCGAGTTTAAATTTTTGAAAGCGAAAATAAAAATTTTGCATGAAGGGATGAAGAATGGAATTCGAAGGAGGGAAAAAATTATAAATTTTCAGAAGAAATTTCCGGAGTTTTTTTACCATAAGAAGGTTATCAATATAAATCATAAAATAAACAAAAATTTGATTAAAATTTATTACCTGTTCAGTGCGAATTATTTTTACACAACAAATATATCGCAGATAATTCACACCATCATGGTGAAAATCTACCAGGAGGATTTTTTTCTGTTTAAGGCGTTGAAAGACTGCTTTTGCAGTTTTCCTGAAAGTGGTAAAAATGTATGGAACAATTTTGAGGTTAAGGAAAGGAATTTTTTTTACAATTTTATATGCAAAGCGAAGGAAGGGAGGCATGTCAAAGCTGTCGATTGGATGGAACAATTTAATCATGTGTTAGTTGGGGTAGATCAACTGCTAAACGGAGAGGACAAGAAAAATGCCAGTAACACATATTCAGTGAACGTTTTAATAAACAAGATATTAAAAATTATTTTAAAACATTTGAAGAGTAGAAATTTTATAAATTATAACAAGTGTCTGAATTTTCCTTTTCTCTTTTTGTCTTTTTTTGACATAAAAATTAAGTTATCCTTGGAAATGGAATCGTTTCCATTTTTGGAAAAGCTCGATCAAGGAAATTTTAAAAATATACTCTTAAATTTGCCTGACCACGTTAGGTACTTTTTTGGCAGCTTAGTTTTGTATATAGAGTATGAGGATATTTTCCTTGTGAACAAGGAGAAATGCCAAGTGAGGGAGACCCCTCGTCCACCCAACAGTACCCAATGCCGAAGCAGGCGGCACCGAAATAACTTAACAACATACAATTTTATCATCGAAAGTATCCTCGCGGAAGATTATTCTCTGAAGAATTTAAAAAATATGAATAAGACAAACAAGAAGGAAACAAAGAATTCTCTCTTCGCAAAGCGGAAAAAAGCAAAGGTGGAAATCCAAAATGTGAAGAATACCTCCGACTTTGAACTGGAGGATAAATATTTGAAAGTGCACAATGCTAACGTAGGGAAAGAAAAAAGAAAGGAAAAGATAAAAAAGGGAAACGGCCCATTCAAAAAAATAAACAAATTGAATTATCACAAAATAGACGTTAGCGAATGGAACGTAAAAAGTTTCCGTTGTGCAGGTGACAGCCCACGCGGTTACGCAACACCATTTAGGAGTACCATAAATGTTGAATTTAAAAAAACTGTTCAAATTAATTTTGATTGCTCTTCCACTTTGCCCGTTAAGTGCAAAATAAACTTCTGCTATTACCACTTCCAGGACAACGCGTTTTGTCTTTTCCCTCTAGCCAGGACGAAGCATATTTACGTGCATCCGTCGCAGTGATAGGCCAGGAAAAGGGTGAAAGTTAACGCGATGGCGAAGCGGAAGCTTAGAGATAGCGAAATTCGCCACTTCTTGGGTGATGAATTACTGCTCGACTTTTTTTTGTTCTTCTGAGGTGTGTGCACGTTAGGGGTCCACATTGATCATATAATTAATCCCTCGCAATGTTTCTTTTTTTTACGAAAGAGAATAATTCCCCCTATTTTTCCGTTTGAATTTGTTTAATATGTCAATTTGTACCGATTCTGCGTGATTTTAAAGCGCAGTAAAAATTCCCCCTTTTTTGTTACTTTTTTTTTATAGCTGGAAATTGGAAAAACTTTGTGGCAGTCCTTCTGCTTCACCATTCCGTCATTATCTCGCCCAGCGTTCACTCAAAAATTTTCCTTTCTTGTCGCATAAGCGAACTGGTTCAGTTAACCTTTGGACGGGAGGGAGACGGGGTCACATACAGACGTATAACACGAGTTGTTTCTCAAGTTCGATCATTTGGGAATTAACGTTGGGACTGTCCTCCTGGAAAGTGCACTAAGGGGAAGACACGTTATAGGCAGGCCTGTGTGTTGTGGCGAAAAGAGCGCTTAAGTCGTTTCAGCAGTTTAAAGAGTTTCAACAAAGAAATGTACCTTAATATGGGGTCCAACTTAAAAACGGAACATTCCTACTAAATTGTCGTTGTTGGCGTTTTTCTGAAAATGGCTGAAGGCAAAATCTTCACTTGAGCCGGACAAGCAGTTCATTCTCGATGCATTGTATCTGTGGTGCCGCCTCGGTGCGGGAAGTTTGGCTAAAGAAAAAGGGAAATAATATCATATGAGGGAGGTGTGCTTCTTTTTGGCAATGTGAACATTCATAGGGGTTTTCAATATGCACAGAATTGGAATGTCTTAATTTTATTTTTTGTTTGTTCTACCTGTGTAAGAATTACCATTCGCGTCGCTAATCCTTCCTGAGGACTTCATGGAGTGTCGTTCTAGGTATCCCCTGGGAACGTTCATTCTCTTATCGTACATTTCGATAGTATCCTTCCAGCGAACGGTTTCCTTTTCATTTAATGAGAGGGAATTTTCGTTTGTCCATTTTTTTCTTTTGGAAGGATAAATATTTTTCGTATATCTGGATCTGTCCAAAATTGTCCCTTTATGTCTGTAATTTCTTTTCTGTCGTTTGGTGTTTTTCTTGCGAACTGCAGTTGGAGTAGCATATTCATTTTTGTTGCGCGTCCCAGGACTGGGATTTCTCGACGGTTTATCACCAGCGCGTGTGTTAACGTCAAATGATTGTTCAGTGTGGTGTATTTTTCTTTCATGTGTATTTTCATTTCTCTGATTCAGCAGTTCCAAAGTGAAATATTTTAGTGAGTTGTCTCCCTTGATGTTGGAATGATATTCACGGGGATGTTCACACCGGTTGGCACTTTCCTCATTAAAAACGTCACTCTTAGTATCAGATGTTTTGTAGTACGAGCTGTTCAGATTTGCAAAGTCGTTGGCTTTGTATGTCGCTTGAGTAGGGGAGCTTTGTTTTGGCAGTTCCAACATATCCTTAATGTATTTATTTAAACCGTTACAGAGAACATTTTTAAAGTTTTCAATTATTCCCTCATTTGGGAGCTCAGCTTCTGGGTTCACATTTTTGCCATTAATTGTGCCCCCTATCTCTTTTTCCTCTTGGCTATATTCACGTAATGAATAAATTCTCTGTTTGGTCCTTTTAGAGGGCAATGTGAGGTGCCCAGGGGCGTCATTTCTATTTAACTTCGAGAACATATTTTTCGTTTTTTGTTTTTTCAAAATGATGTCTATGTCGTCTAGACAGTCATCCGAATAGGAGTATTCGTAATTTTGGTTTGGAAGTTTCTCGACCTGTTCAAAATCTGAGTTAACATGACAGTTTTTTTTCGTGTCGTGTATTATTTGATTTATCGTCTTCTCTAACTTGTAGTGTAAATTTTTTTGCCTGCTCCTTTTGTTGATTAGCTCTTCAAATTGTTCATCATCAGATGGGGTTATATTGGAAAGGGCATCATAGTAATAGTTGCTGTTGCATGAGAATTGGGGGCATTTCATTTTTTGCTTCTTTCCTTAGACAGTGTGTTGCTTTGCAGAATGGTGATGCGGTGCAGAGAGATACGCTGCGATGTGATCACTAAGAATGAGCAGCCACATGACAAATGGGAAAAAGACAAATAAGTCCAAGAAAAGGCATCAGCTGATTAAACAAATAGTTGAAGGGATAAACAAGACGAGAACAAAAAAACGAAAAAAAAAAGGGGGAAAACAAGTAAACAGTCATTAGCAGACACCTCGGTGGAAAAGAACATTTTTATAAAAGATTTATTAAGAGCGAAAAATAATTGGGTGAAGAAAATTCCGAGGGGACTGTTTCCTTTTTCCCCTTTATGGAATAGCTGTGCCTGAACTTTTCTCTTTTGAAAATTAACGGATGAGATGTATTCGCCGAAATGGGAAATAATTAAGAAAAGTGAAAAGATGGAGAGGGCCGTAAAGATGTTTTCCTGTCTGGGAATTATTTTTCACGCCTTGGGTAGGAGAAGCAGAAGGGTATGTAACCATCAGGTATGTAACCTTCAAGTATGTACACTTTTTTGCGTCATCAAAATTGGCGATTTTTTTTTTTTTGGAAATTGAAGAATGTGCAAAATGGATTGATTTCCCGCATGGTTATGTGCACAAGTCGTAATTTCCAACTGAGCATGCCTTCACGGAAGAGGAAACATCAAACGGTTTTATTTTATTTCATTTTATTTTTTTCCTATTTTCACATTATGTACCACTCTTGTTCCGCCGCGCAGCCGCTGTAACTGTCTTTTGTGTGATGTTGCTCTTAACCCTTCGTAGTAGGGAGTGACACAGTATATGTTTTTTTTGTTTTTTTTGATACACCTCATTGGTATGAGGATGCAGAAATGTGAGGGGGGTTAAGACACATTCCTTTCTGCATAAAATGTGAAGAAGGCGTTGTTTTGTGGGGAAGAATTCCCCTTTCAAGAGGATTGTGGTCTAGGACAAAACAACATAGTGCTGCACGGCGGACGCTTCGACATTTTAAAGTTGGGGAACTGACACAAATGGACAGGACTCCCTTTGGGGGAGCTCGATTGGGGAAGTTCTGCCATTCCTTTCCACGTTGGGTAATTTGAAACACACTCTTAAGATTAACAAACTGGAGAAGTTACAAAAAATTTGAACGAACTTTTAATTTTTAAATAGGGCAATTTGGCAATGTTTTTTTTCGTGCTCCTGACCCCTTTATTTTATTGTATTTTATTCTATTTTATTTTATCTTCTTTTTCCACCATTTTAAATTTAATCTATTGCACAAGTCAGCATAACGACTGTTTAGCTTTAAATTGTTCAATTTCGGCAAAATATTTTTCCCATTTTCTGTTTGTTTCATGTTTTTTTCCTGCTTGTAGCACACGCAGGTGATGATTCCTGTGCGTCAAATGAAGTTCACGAGGAGGAGATTTAAGATGGTGATAGCGGTATGCTGAAAAGGGAAGGCTTCCTTGCATGGTCACTTCGTTGTTCATTTTTTCTCCATTTTTTGAAGCTAACGTAGAATTGAAAAATGATAAGAATTGCCTAAATGAAGTGGCCCATTCTTTGCATATTCTTCTCTTAACCGAGTTTGCACATTTTTTCGCTTTTTTTTTTTTTTTTTTTTTTTTGGCCATTTCGCTCCAAAAATGTCCGCTGAGGAGGTGAAGAAAAAGAGCTACGACGATATCCTGCTACAGTTGTGCTTGACGGGGGATGACAAGATTAAGCCTGTCTTGTATAAAGTAACACGTTACGTGGCGCTTGAGATGAGTGTTTTGTAGGAAGGGCTATGTGCCTTGAAGCGGCATCATGTGTTGTACATTTTGTTCTTTTCTTACAAGATGGGTTGCAATACTTTGTGGTCACTTTACTCGTTATGGTTCTTTTATTTTTATTTTATTTATTTTTTTTCTTTTTTTCCTTTTCCAGTTCATCCCCGTGCTGCTTAACGAACTGCTACTTAACCAAGGGACGCCCCAACGAACACTGATAGAAATTGTGAGTCACTGCATTTTGAGATGCAAATCGTTTCAGCGGATTGATATACCCCTGTCGGAGATAGTGGGGAATTATTTCCAACACGTGGGCAAAGCGAACGGGAACAGGATTCTATATAACAGCACCTTGTCTATATTTCTAGATATCGGTTTTAAGAGCGCAGACGATGGAGAGAAGATGAAATTTCAAAAGATTCTAATAGAAAATGGCGCCCAGTTATCTGCGGACAGGGAAATGGGTATCCTTATGATGATAAAGTTTATCGAATGTTTGGAGATTTTAAATGATGAGAGGAATAAGAAGGAGATGGAGGAATACTTTTCGGGGGAGTCTATATTTGCCAAACAGATTGTCCAGTTCATAAAGCACACAAATGAATTTTTGGCGATCCCAATATACTGCAAAAATGTGGAGGAAATAAAATTTCTTCCAAGTGATGTTATTAAGATATATAAGGACAAATTTCGAAATAGTAAAAATTACTCGGTGCAAAACCACATAAAAATGAAGAAGAATACGCTATACTTTCTGAGCAGTTTTGTGTGCAATCACAATCTGAGTTACTCTTCATACGTTATTTGCTCCACTGAAAAGTATGACGAAATTAAGGAGTATGCCAATTCGCTGCTACTTGGGAAGAAGCGACTCATAAATTTTAATGACGCCCATTTTATAGCCACAAATTTGGACATACTGAAATATTTTGATAATAATATGTACCCAGTGCAATATGCGGTAAAAATTCTGACTTTATTTCTCAACAGCTCTGAGGTAGCAGTCGATGGGGCGCACTTGGACTCTTTGATGAGTTATATATTTTTTTTCTTCTTCCACTTTCTTAACGATATGAAGAACATCCACTTTGAGACAGAGTTTTCCAAGTTTCACGTTTTGTTCCATGACAAAAGAGAGTTTGTAAAATTTTTAAATCGAAGTGGAAACACCATCATCAGTCTGAAAAATGAAGATTTGAAAAAGTGCCTCTTCAGCTTAATGTTGTTCATTCTGGAAAAGACCTCAAGTGAGTTTCTGCATGACTATGTTGAGTGTATCTTCCACCTCATTTTCTGTTACCTGAAAGGGTTGGATGAGGAAGGAACGGACTCTGACCCTGGTGGTAGTGACAATTCCGGGACATTTACAGATATCTGTACTATGATAGATAAATTTTTCGAAAAGCTTCTGAGGGAGGAAAAAATTAATATGACCGTGTTGGGAAGGGCGTACACTTTGAGCTACTCCTTCTTTGACAAGCTGAAAAGGTTTAAGAGGAGGAGCAGAGAGTCGTACATACGGCACAATAATATAACCAGAGTTCTGTTGTCCCTGGAGAAATACTTCCAGAGGTGCATGCAGGTATGGGGAGTGGTAGGAGAAGAGGTCCAACAAATGGGGGAGTGTGTAGATCGTATAGAACAGAATGCGGAATGGTGTGGTCATATGGGTAACTCCATTTCATCCGAACAAAATGGACTGTTTGGATTGAAGGAGAAAAAAAAAGGAGTTGCTCCAACAAACGGAAGAGACATTCGAAAAATAATAGCGCAGAATGTTGAGCATTTATTGGACCAATTTGTACCGTTCGTAGATAACGCGTTGCTAATTAGTGTGGTGATGAAATGGGCCGTTAGCATATTCCCCGCGGGGAGCTATGAATGTGTGTACTACCCGCTGCTCTTTGAAAGGAGCAGTAACGTCGTTTTGTCAGACTTAGCAAGGGATTATTTGAAAGGGCAGAAGAAGGAAAAGAAAATAGCGTTTGACGAGTACACCTTTTTTATTTCCAAAAAGTTGTTTCGCGTGAACGATGGGTGTGTGGTTCGCCCGTTTGGTGCTGCGTATGGGGGGGTAGGCGGCGAGGACAGTTGCGTTGATAAAATTTGCCACGGGGCCAATTGTGACGAAGGAAATTGCAACGAGTGCAATTGCGAACAAGAATCATTAAAGTACAGCCAAATAGTTCAACCCAGCTGGGTTACCACACAAAGTGCAGACCTTGCTACCGAATATGCAAACACGCATTATGCAGAGTATAGGCTAGACCAACTGCACAATCTGCTTCAGTACTACAAGAAGATAACCTTTTGCTCCTTCTCCCACGTTGAAAGTGTCTATTATGCCGTCTTGATACTGGACCTGTTTCTAATGGGGACGGTAAATCTTGAAAGGAATATGAAGGAGGATTACCTAGTTGTGTACTCATCCGTTTTTACGCTGATTTTAAAGAGGTTACGTACCTTCCTGAAGAGAATCAAAAAAGAAGTAGACGCGAACTTTAGGAGAAAACAATTTGAAATGTTAGAAAAGAGCGAGAGGGGCCTGTATACCCATTTGGTAGTTTTAGCAAAGACAAGAATGCAGTTAATTTTAAGCAACATGCTGTACGTAGGCAATCACAAGCTGGTAAAGAAGGGAACGAAGTTGCTGGCCAGAATATATCTGCTTGGTAAGGAAACGCACGCGAATCTATTTGACGACCTAGTGACTGATTTGACGTCAGAAAATGTGGAAAAAGTAGCTGAAAAATCGAAGGAGGAGAGTCATGTACTATGCGCACATATGTACCTATTTGGTTACTTAATAAAAAAGAAAAAACAAATTGGTGAAAAGTATTCCAAGGTTGTAGAAGTGGTTACGAATTGTTTCCTTCACATACATCACAGCTATGTGAAGGAAAAGAAAAAAATTGAAGAGACCGATTTGTTGAGGTACTGTTTTAAGTTCCTCCGTTTGGTGTTTTTTTCGAGAAATTTTGTGCAGACGTGGCTTAAAATGGTAAAAGAAAGTAGCTACTCAGAATTGCCCCAAGGAGGAGAAGATTGCGCTGTTCAAATTGGTTATATAGTGGAGGTTCTCATGGAGATATTGAAATACGCCAAGGGGAATTTAACTGGCGCTAATATATGTTTAGTAAAAAATGTGTTAAAGCTGTTAAGCTGCTTACCCACACTGAGAGATGATAGGATTAATGCCATTCTAAAGGAGGACATAATGGATTCCTTCCA